CATCTTGAGTGGTATCTGGTCTGGCATTCTAACACATAGGTCTGTGTACAACCTATGTGTAAGTGTTCTCAGCAACATTATCCAAACAGCAGCAGTAGAAGCGACAAAATGTCAATCAAACAATGAGTAGAAAGTCAAAATCTGTAACACTAGCCTTCAAAAGGAATGGTGACACGATTCCTAGATCAGGGCTGAGTCTTAACGCATTGTGCCCAGTGAAAATAAACTAGATGCACAAAGAGCCCACACCACGTGATTCCATTTGTACGAACTGCTCAGAATAGTACAGCCATCCACATACAGGTTGTCAGTTCCCAGGGAGGTAGTGCAGAATGACTGCTATGAGGTTCTCTTTGGGGACAATGAATGAGTGAGTGGCCGGAAAGCAAGTTCTTTGGATAAACATGTGACGGTGTCAAGTAAGTAACAACGTGCCTACAACGTGTGGTGTAGCATGTCCACCACACTATCAGCCCCAACACTGCATACCAGGCAGAAATGACAGAAATCCAGAGTAAGCAAGTTAGGGAGGAAAAGGAAGAAGTCACTTCCCTAGGGCAGGAGCCGAGCAGCCCCCTTCTATCTCTTGGAGTGACAAAAGCTGAAAGCACAATGTTTGGTGGGTTCCTGGAAGGAACCAACACACAGTCACCGCAGGGGTGAGCTTTACTGGGAGACAAAGTCTTGAGAACATGGAAGCCATGATTGGGCCTTGAGGTAGGAGAGCAATAGAATGGCATGGAATGTCGTATCAGAGAAAAGCTTCATGAAGAGGGATGGCTCAAGGTAGAAGAGAGACAGCCACAGGGACAGGATTGGGGGTGGGGCGGGAGAGGACAGCGAGTCTGACTTCTGTGTCCTTTCAGAGGGCAGCAGGAAGTTCCACACCTTGTGATTTAGTCTGATACAGTTTATGTGACAAGGATCATGGAAGAGCCAGGTGTGGGTAGCACTGTGAAGACACAACACAGCAGGGCTTCTTAATGCTTTGTCCCAGATTGTCCAGGGTGTGTGTGAGCGTGTGTGTGAGCGTGTGTGTGAGTGTGTGTGTGTGTGTGTGAGTGTGTGTGTGAGCGTGTGTGTGAGCGTGTGTGTGAGTGTGTGAGCGTGTGTGTGTGAGCGTGTGTGTGTGTGTGTGTGTGTGAGCATGCGTGTGCGCATGTGCGCCTGGGCATGTATGTGCTCACTGGACCCCCTGCTTTATAGATAGTTTGTAAGCTGCCCAGGTGCATTCTAGGAACCAAATTCCAGTCCCCAAAAGAACAAGGGCTCTTAACCATCTCTGGGGCCTTGAGTGTTGTTTAATCACAGGAAAGGAAAGTTTATCATAAATTTACTTCAGTCCAGCTGTGCCAGCATCATATTTTGTAAAAGATCTAGATTTTTCTATTAAGAGTTGTTGAGTGACTATGTTAATAGCACGGGTGTGGTCAGCACTGAGAAGCTATGGCTTTGGTTTCATATGGGAAAGGCAGGTTTCTGCCTGTCTCGGATATGTCCAGTTAAAACCCTGTCTCGAATCGGTTGTTTTGAATGTATTATCTGGACAGGGAATACGACATAAGATGTTTGGAACACAACTCCTGAAGTCACATGCTTATATTTGGCTGGGATGTGTCACTTCACTGTGAACCCCCAACTCTGCTACTTGGCCTTGTGGTGGCTGGAACTCTGACATAATCAACTCAAGGAGGAAAGATAGGTTTTAGTACACAGTTTCCATCCATCATGGCAGAGCAGCTCAGTTTGGGATGACAAGAGACGGTTAGATCACAGTAGTCCAGGAAACAGGAAGCAGGGGAGAGAAGGGAACTGGCATAACCTGCCCCAGAGACCCGCTTCTCCCAGCTAACGGTTCCAGAGCCTCCCCAAATAGTACTGCCAGCTGGGGAACAAAGATGAAGAGCATTATCCTAAGGCATTCCATATTCAAACTGGAAGAGTATCTCCCTGATGATAAGATAGGAAAGAGAAGGAATAGTTTCTGCCTCAGGGGCAATCGTGAACATTGGGTGCTGCCAAGGCTGTCTCAGTGTAAGCTCTGTGGACATGAGCTGTTATCTTCATCCTTCCGCAAACTCCTGGTGAGCTGGACATGGTGACTCCAAGTAGTCAGTGAGCTGGAGTTGAAGGGTAGCTTCTCCTGGACCACCCAGGGTGGGAACACCAAGGATACCTTAGGAATGCACAGCTAGCTGCAGTTCCAAATTCACTTTACAAAATAGCCTAAGCCTCTCACGTTTCCTGTTCTTGTCCTCTCTGAGAGTGAAACCAGTGCTCATGGGAAAGAAGGTCTGTAAGGTGTTGCAATTTTTCTTTATATATAAAAAAATCCCTCCCCCAGAACAACCTACTTTGTTAGGAAGTATAATAATAGCTGTCTTTTTCTGTGTTGTGTCCCTGGCTACTTTTCAAATCCAAGCCCATGATCCTTCATTGTGTGTTTTGTTTTAGTCAGGAAAGACCTAAAATTTGGCTCTGAAAATTTCCTTAATCTGTAAGAAGAAATAATCCCCTGAAAGTCCAGTTGTTATGACCGAAGAGGAAAAACAAGGCCCTGACCAGAAATGCCCACACGGAAGTCACGGGGCTTTCAGAACAAAATTGCTAAGTTCATGTCATATCCCTTCTTGGACATGTTCTAGATAGATGTGCCAAAAGCAACAAGAGTCGCTGCTACCCACAAAGGTCTTCAAAGGCAGTGGCACTGTCCCCTCTGGCCTGAGTTTAAGAGCAAGAGTGGAGTCACATCCCTGGAGAGTTCACCCTTCAAAGCACCGTTAGACGGGCATTGTCTCTGACCTCCGAACAGCTTTCTCCGCTGTTCCCAGGATATCTGCTTCCAGAAATATTTCTTCCTTTGCTTCATTACCACTAAGAAGCCCTCACAGGATGGCCATTCACCTCTAGGGAAGCATCAACAACACAGGAAACCCATACGAATGGGAGCAACAGTCTTGGAATTTAAGACGTCCAAGGCAGATTTGTGAAAAATGAACACTGGCCAGAAGGGGCATGGTGTGCATGCAGTAACTTACAGTATTTATATCTGAACCATTTGTCCTCTGTCAGCCTCAGCTTCCTCTTTATAAGAGTGCATGTGGAAGTAGACACAGCTGTGTGGGTCCTCTGCCTGGCTAGGGAAGGGAAAGCACACTCCTAATAGAGCATGGAAAGATAAGGTTGCCTCAGTTTAAGAATGGTGCCAGAGGACATCACTTCTGAACGAAGTTAAAATAAGCCAACATGGTTACACAGGCCTGTAATTCCTGATGCTACTCCAAAAGCTGAGGCAGGGGGGGTCACAAGTTCAAGACCTATGTTAGAAAGTTCCACACTTGGGCAACTTAATGAGACCTCGTCTCTAAAAAAGGGGGTGGGGAAGCTTGTAGGATGATTCAGTGTGTGAGGGCACTGTCTACCAAGATCAACAATATGAGTTCAACTATCAGGACCACATACAGAAAGGAGACAACTGACACCTATAAGTAGTCTTTGATGTTTACCCACTACATGCTATAACACACACACACACACACACACACACACACACACACACACACACAGGTTGAGTTAAGGACTAACATTTTGAAATTTCTAGACTAAACGTGTCAAAGCTTATGTAAGTCATTGATGAGGAAGTCAGTCAGATAGGAAGTTAGGTCAAAGGTCTTTTGAAAAGTTGAGCACTTACAGTAGGAAGGCAGAACTCACCTGTTTGGAGGTATAGTCTCATTTTATTTTGTTGAAACAAGGTATCATTGTCTAAGCCGAGCTGGCTTCAATTTCATTGTGTATCCTCCGACCTCTGCCTCCCGAGTATTTTAATTAAAGGTAGTACTTGTTCACCATGCTGGCTTGGAAGAACTTTGGAATGCGATTATTTTTTTAACATGGTTCATTTTCTACAGGGCAATCAAATAATGACATAGATGCTGCCTTTACTAATTCAAAGACAGTAATTTATAACTTTATCAGGCAAAAATAATCTACACATTAACATAAAACTTCAGAGTTTGAATCAAAATCAATAGAAAATATTGAGCCAAACACAGAGAAAACCCATAGACAATTTAATAACCATCGAGTGGTTATTAAACCTTAGTCTGTTTGCACTGCCGTGACACCGTACCAAAGGTTGAGTATCCCGTAGCAACAGAAATCGATTTCTCAATCAGGGAATGGCAGCTACTTCTTGGATGGCTTTCCTTTCTGCTATGTCCTCTTGTGGCGGGAGGGTCAAAGGGATGTCTGGCTGTTTTTTGCAGGGTCACTGATTTCTCAGGACCCAGTCACCTCTTATAGGACCAACACTTCATGGCATCACTTAGGTGTTACATTTTCAGTATGAGCTTGGGGTCATGGTCTGTTCTGGTACTCTATTAGGAATGATTGAATTGAGAAATATGCCATTTCTTGTCTCATTGTCAGGTGTGTGTGTTTGAGTGCATATGTGTGTATGTGAAACAGAGAGAGAGAGAGAGAGAGAGAGAGAGAGAGAGAGAGAGAGAGAGAGAGAGAGAGAGACTATGTCTCACTGAATTTGGAGCTTACTCTTTTTGTCAAAACTGACTGACCAGCAAGCCTCCAGGATCTGTCTGTCTCTGGTCACATCACTGGAGTTACAGAAGTGCTGTGCCACACCCAGCTTTTATGTGGTGCCGGGCATCAGAATCCATTCAGGTCCTCAGGCTTAAAGAGCAAGCAGTTAACCCACTGAGTCATCTACCCAGCCCTCACTATCCTGCTGCAAACAGAATTGCTCATCACAAATAATTGTCAAACATTAATTTCTGTCCTCCATATTACAAAGAAAAAGAAACTTCTCACATAGTGTTTTTGGTTTGACTAATTTACATAAGTAATTTACATAAGAAATCTTAGTTAAACCTGTGTTGCATAGTCAGCAAGTTAACTTGTGTATGAAAACTGTGAAATGAAACAAGGACATAGATTCTTTTCCAAAGATTATGCTTATTTACTTTTCTTTTGTCCTTCAGGTGCCTCTCTCGCAAGCCAGGAATTCAAGAGACTCACTTCCGACAGCTTTCTGTGCAATCCTGACATGTGGGTGGCCTCCTCTTGCTGTAAATTCCCATTCTGCTGAGAGTCCGGTCAGGCAGGAAGTGATTTTCTAAGAAACCCCCTGCCAAGCAAAGGATAGTGTCAAAGGTCAGGGGCTAATCAGTCCACAGAGGAAGCACATTTTACTCCTCCATGCTGTCTCACTAGATGCAATCCATTTTTTTAAAGATTTCACTTTTAATTGTGTATATATGTGAGCCGCTGTGTGGGTGTGTGTGCCTGAGTGGTGCCCTCCGAGACCAGACGAGGGCTTTGGGACATGTGGCTCTGGGGCTAGAGAACGTTGTAAGTCTCCCAGTGTTGGCACTGAGAGCTGAATTCAGAACATCTGGGAGAGCATATGTGCTCTCAACAGCTGAGTTATTGATTCAGCACCTAAAACTTATTTTTAAAGATGACATTCTAGGAATGACCTTAGTTGCATGATTACTTTTTTATTTCTGTCCTGGGTTTTTGTTGTTGTTTTTGTTTTGTTTTGTTTTGTTCTGCATTCAGAAACTGATTAAATGTTAGAAACTATAGTACTAACTATTCAGAGAACGGCAGCTCAATCAGAAAGCTGCCTTGGCTTTGAGAAGATGGGAGACCTAGAAGCAGCTGATGCCAGTTGTGAAGGGTAGATGTAAAACAGGAGGAGAGGAGAAGCGTAAACGAACTGGTAGACATGGGATAGAGACATCCTTATTTCCTAAGATTACGTGGTGAAGTCGCAGGGGAAGCTGGGTCAGAATACAAAGGTGGAAAATTAAGCCGTCATGAGAAATGAAAGGAGTGCTTCACTTCTACTGGCTGAGCATCCAGAAAATGTCATACCAGCTTATGACACACTTACAGTGAGGCATGTCTTGACCGCGATCACCCATGTGTAGTCAGGTCTCTCCTGATGACCTAGACCTGAACTTTTACCCTATCAGCCAATCAGACTGCGCTTCACACCTCATAAACCACCTTATGACTGTTTGTTTGCCAAAGAAAAGTTCTTCATATGAAAATAAGTACGCCAAATGCTGCTTATTTAATCTTTTAAGAATTTTTAAGAGTGTAACTTCAGAAGCCACCAAAATCACTTATGCAACTACTGTTAAAACAGTTAAATGTGGTTCTTTCTTTTGAAATCTGTGCTTACCCTGTTTTCCCCTTTCCTCCAGGCTTAAATCTATATTTAAACCTGCCTTGAGAAACTTCAAGTGTGGCTGGAGAAATTTTTCAGTGGTCAAAGCTCTTGACATACAAGCTTGAGGACTGAAGTTGGGATTCCAGAACCCACATAAACTCTGGACACACGGGTGTGGTGTATACCTATAATTCAAGTCCTGGAAGGCAAAGACAAGATCCCCAGAGCAAGCTGGCTAGCTAGGCTAGACTTACAGGCAAACTCTGGGTTTGACTGAGAGGCCCTGCCTCAATGAATACTATAGGATAGGGATTATGAACGATTCTTGATGATAACCTTGGGTGCACACGTGCACACACACACAGACGCATGCACGTACACACATATGCACAAGGACAAACAAACATGCATTCATATCACATACATGAAAATATGGGGATGGTTCTAACTTTGCTTTTAAAAAGTGCAGACAAGTTGAACAGGACCACCAATTAATTATCAGAAATCACTGTGAGAATCTCTATTAGGATAACTACTGTTGAGAACCCAGAAACAACACAGAAAGTAACAAGCATTGGTAAACATGGAGAAAAATTAGAAGAGTTGTTCACTGCTTATGGAATATAAAAGGGTATGGCCATGATGGGAAACAGCATGATATTTCTGTAAAAATAAAATAAAGTAAAATTGTCAGTAATTCTGCCTCTGGGTATGTACATAAAATAATCAAGAACATAGATCTAAACAGATTTTTGCACACATGGAAGCACTATTTATGATAGCCAAAAATTAACCCAAGCATTCCAAGTGGGTGGTTGGCTAATCAAAAACAGTAAATGTATACAGTGAGCTATCACTCAGCTTTATAAAGGGAGAAAATTCTGAAACATTTTCACCATCGATGACTCTGAAGACATTCAGCTAAGGGAGTTAAACCTGTCATGAAAGATGAAGTTTACACAACTCCACTAACACTGGTACCTACATTAGTCAAGTCTACAGAGATAGAGTGTAGATTGGGGACTGAAGATGCAGAGAGAGCATGTGTTGTGATCACCGGTTTCAGCTGGGGAAGATGACAAATTTTGCTGCTGCAATGAGCACTTCAAACTGACTACTGTAGACATTTGATGTTGCACATAAAATTTACTCATTAACAAGAAGCATAGAAAAAGGCCTTCTGTATAGATACATCAAACAGAATATTTTAAAAAATCAGCTCATCTACTTTTTAAAGAATACATGTAGTCTTAGTTAGATTTCTATTTCTGTGATAAAGACAATGACCAAAAGCAACTTAGGGAGGAAAGACTATTGAGTCTTGCAGTTTACACACCATCATGAAAGGAAGTCAGGACAGGAACTGATACAGAGACCGTGGAGGAGCGCTACTTACTGAATTGTTCTTGGCTTGCTTAGTTTGTTTTCTAATACAACCCGGGACCCACAGATGGGTTGGGCACTTCTATATCAATCATCAATCAAGAAAATGCTCTACAGGCTTGCCTACAGCTCGATCCTATGGAGACATTTCCTCAGTTGAGGCTCCCTCTTCCCAGATAACTTTAACTTGTGTCAAGCTGACAAAAAGTAACCAGAACACACACACACACACACATACACACACACACACACACACACACACACACACACACACACACACACACACACACGATTTCTCTTATCAGTTACTTGGGCCAGCAGTCTACATTTACAGAACTGTCTTCTTTGGGGCTGGAGAGAAGCAGAACATCTGGCTTAGCATCAGGCTCACTCTGGCAAAAAGTCCTCAAGTGCTGTGGCCTGAACTGACGCTGGAACCTGTGCCCAGGGGTACAGGCTTTTCCAGGGCAGTTTCCAGTTTCTAGTATTGAAACTTCTGGAAACAGAAAGGAAAAGCAAAATCCACTTGTTGATAAGAACGGGATAGCTACAGTTAATTTATTAGGGTACGTGATAGTATCCAAACAGAGCAAAGTAAAATCCCCATTGGCGTGTTAATCTGCCAGATCAGCCGCTGGCTACACAAGGGCAAGAATGTGTTAGAGAGAGCAAGGGAGAAGGTTAGATTTCAGGTCCTTCTGTAAAGCATCCAACCTCCAAAATGCATTTACATTGATAATGTACACTGAGTAATGTTGACCTGGAAGCCCAAGGGTCTTCTGTTTTTGTTTGTTTGTTTTTTTATGAGACAGGGTTTCTCTGTATTGTTTTGGAGGCTGTCGGTCCAGCCCGGCCTCGAACTCACAGAGATCTGCCTGCCTCAGCCTCCGGAGTGCTGGGATTAAAGGCATGCACCACCAACGCCCGGCCCCAAGGGTCTTCTGTTTTAACCCTTGTTCCATAAAGCTCTGAAGTAGTGGAGAATTATCGAAGATAGAGTTTGTCTAGCATGTGCAAGACCCTGAACTCAACAGACAGGAAAAGAAAACAAAAAATCTAATTATTTTTTTTATCATTCTCTTTTAGAAGGAGGAACAATAAATCTTTGTGGTTCCTCAGGGACTCTCTGGGAAATGCAATGTATAGTTTGTATGTAAAAACATATTTTAAACAGAAAAAAAAATTAATAGGGGGAAAAATAAAAGTTGCTACAGAACGTACTTTGAAAGGACCCCAAGTACTCAAGGAAACGTGGTTTAAACTTATTCATCAAAATGACAATGTAATATTTCCAAATGCACAAGAAAAGGATAAAGATAGGAAAATTCTAGAAGCGTTAGTGCTTCCAGGAGCCGGAGGAGATTGCTCAGCTGGTGCAGTACTTGCCATGCAAACATGAGGACCATACTAGTGCCCACAGAGATACTGGGTGGGTGTGATGGCCCATCTGAATTCCCAGTGCTCAGGAGACAGGGACAGAGGACCTTGAGAGCAAGTTGCTAAGCAGGCTAGCCTAATCAGTGAGCTCAGGTTAAGTGAGAGACCCTGCCTCAATGCAAAGAAGACACCTGAATGTAAACATCTGCACAAACATATGCCCACACACATGTAAATATGCACACATGCCTGTGAGCACACCATACACACATATACATGTGGAAGAAAGGGAGGAAGGAAGAAGGAAAGAAAGGAAGGGAGAAAGGGAGGGAGGGAGAGGGAGAGAGAGAAAGAAGAAAGAAAGAAAGGAAGGAAGGAAGAAAGAAAGGAAAGAAGAAAGGAAGGAAGGAAGGAAGAAAGGAAGGAAGAAAGAAAGGAAGGAAGAAAGGAAGGAAGAAAGAAAGGAAGGAAGAAAGGAAGGCTCATGCATCCAGATATGAGGGATTTCAACCAGGAGCACAAGAAGTTCTCATAGCTTGGAAAGGATAGCTAGGTGTTATGGAGCATGCCTATAATCCCACCACCTGGGGAGACCGAGCAATGGGATTGTGAGTTTGAGGTCAGCCTTTACAAGAAAATAAAACCCTGCTTTGTGTTATAGGTATCTAAATGATTGTATGTATCAATTCAAAGATCTAGGATCCAGAAGTGTGGGAAAATATGAAATATCTGTCTTTCTGAGTGTAGCTTGTTTCCCTTAACATGATGATCTCCAGTTGTATCCATTTTTCAACAAATGACATGATTCTTTTTTTCTTCTATGGGAGAATAAAACACCATTGTTTACATAGACGACAATTCTGTCATTCATTCATCCATTAATGGATAACTCAGCTGAAGGTGGATTATAAATTCATACCAATCATAAATTTTACTAGAGAGAAAATTTAGAGGCAAATAACAGGAAACTATGTCATACACACATATTTCATAACAACTTTTGTAAGCATAGATAACAGGACCCTCCCGCCCCCCAACACACATATCTATCCCTTTTGTATTTTCACAAGGCATATGCTTAAGCTGGAATGCAATAAGCTTGTCCAGTTACCATCCAGTCTTCCAAGAGAACAGCTGCCATACAGCCACCATACTGCTGGCAGCTCCATAGGAACCCAGGGTGTGGGACTTGTCTGTTATCCACAGTGTATATAGTCACCCACTTGCAATGGACATCAGATAACCAAGAATTTGGTCATAGTAACCACATGAGAAATAGGAAGTATAGGATCGAGGTGGAACCTAATCATAGTGACACCTGTTATAACACACCACCATTTCCCCAGAGACTTCCTGAACTGTAGGCAGGGTTTTTGTCAGGACTGCTGGCTCTCCAATAAACAACACAAAGACTTATTATTAATTATAAGTGTTTGGCCTGTTATCTTAGTCTTGCTCCTAACTAGCTCTTATAGCTTAAATTAACCTGTATTTCTTATCTATGTTCTGCCGTGTGACTCAGTACCTTCTCTCAGCATGGCATGCTCATCTCACTTCTGTGACTCTTGGTGACCTCACCCTTCTTCTTCCCATCGTTCTCTCAGTCTGGCTCTCCTGCCTAGCCTCTTCCTGCCTAGCTATTGGCCACTTAGCTCTTTATTAAGCCAATGAGAGCAACACACCTGCACAGTGTGCAGAAGGATTATTCCACAGCACTGAACCTCACAGTGGTCCCCAGTTTTCTTGTTTCAAAAGATGTAAATCCCTGCCTAAAGAGTTTCACTCCCTCCTACCCACCTCATCCCCATATTTTCTCCCCAAGAACCTCACCTTGAACTTCAGGTAAGAGTCCTGTACAGTGGGGGTACACTTTAGCTTCTTTCCTGTGTCCAGTAGGGACACACTGAACAACCCTCAAGCACAGGCCACTCCTGAAGCCAGTTGAGTGCGGGCTCTCCATGTGCCTTGCAATGCTGGTTCGGTGACACTTGGCTGTGACATGAGTAATGTCTTCATCACTGTTGCCCTAGTGCCTTTGGGAAATACTTTGCAAATTCTAAAGTCTGAGCCCACTTCTTCAAATGTGAGTCTTTTTACAGATACACTATTTCACACAGTGAATTTCCAGATGGAGGGGATATTCCTATATTTCCCAAACTGACCAGAACATGTGTGCTGGTTAACTTTTTGTCAACCTGGCACAAACTAGTTATTTAATAATCCAGAAAGAAGGAATATCAACTGAGAAGACACCTCTATAGGCGGAGCTTTGTGTTGGGATCACTGGCTCCTGATAATGACAGAGACTTATTATTAATTATAAATGCTTGACTGGTAGCTTAGGCTTGTTACTAACTGGCGCTTTTAACTTAAGCTAACCGATATTTCTTATCTACTCTCTACCATGTGGTGGTACCTTTTTTCAGCACAACATGTTCACCTCCTGCTTCCTCTTTGTCTGCTGGCAATGCTGTCCTTCTTCTTCCCAGCGTTGTCTGGCTATCCCACCTAACCTCTTCCTGCCTAACTATTGGCCAGTTGGCTCTTTATTAAAGCAGTGAGAGCAATACATACTCACAGTGTACGAAAGGATTATTTCACAGTGCACCTCTACCAGTACTGGACTATAGGCAAGTCTGTGTGGGCATTTCCTTGATTGGAGTATTGTTGCCTCTGGGAGGATGGCTCTGGGTTCTATAAGACGCAGGCTGAGCAAGCCAGTAAGCAGCACTCCTCCATAGTCTCTGCTTCAGTTCCTGCCTCCAGGTCCCAGCTTTGAGTTCATGTCTTGACTTCCTTTCATAATGATCTATAAGCTGTTAGCTAAAATAAATCCTTTCCTCCTCAAGCCGCTTTGGTCACGGTGTTTATCACAGCAAACTAGTGTATCATGGAACCCCTTCTTCCTGCACTGTCTGCCTAGGTTGCGGTCTTACG